CCTCACCATTATAAAGAAAGTAGGTTAAGAACATAAGGGCATAATATATTTGAAAAATGTTGAAATAAGGGACACAGGGTTGGATGCATTAGGTATTTGGACATCAGGCACCGGCTCATTTTCATTGTTTAAAATAGTAAATCACTGACACAGTTTCTGTATTTCCAACACACAAACCTCACAGTAGAAATGACCCTAATTATAGCAAATGCTAAAGAAGTGTTAGAGATACAGACGAAAAATAAGTTGTTAGATTGTGTTTTCGACCATCTCCCAAGCTAATGTTTCGAGGTGTGTGGCATTTGCACCTGCTAGACCAACCCAGACCACATTATGATTTCAACTGACATCAGGTATGGGTCCAGCCAACCTAGCACTTGTTCTGCAGTTGTTTAGAAGTACTTTACTGCCCCCGATCGAGACATATAAATCTTTGCATCACTTACCTGTAAACCCCCCCCCAACGCTAAAAGTTACCATGGAACATGGTAACTTTTAGTACTGTGTACTAAAAGTGTATGTTAAACTGTGTATGTTCTGGTAACATACACAGTACACTCATGGTGTTTGCTTTTGCTTCCTTGCAAGTAAAATAAACATGTTGGAACTTGCTACTCTGTCTGTCTCACTTAATAAGAGGATTTTTTCTAACAAAGACCAAGAAACCTAATATGATGTTTTCAGACCAGGGTAAGTGAGCCAGTGACAACTCTGAATGTGTTTGAAAGGATTACTCCTTGAAACTAAACCAAGATTTATGGTTTTGTCTGACATGACAGGATTCAAAGATGTACGAAACATTGTTTTGACATCAGTATTTCATCAGTTGAGTGTTTATACAGTTCTGTGTTTGATTTCTGAATTCTCTGTTACATTTCAGAGGACTCATTCGAGTGTGTAACTGTGAAAGAGGGAGGAACCAAGAGAATCAGAATCAGAACACTTTATTTATCCCCAAGGGGCAATTAACAAACAACCGAGCAGCATACGCTGAAGATCAGGACAATAAGAACAGGCAATAGGAGTGAAATAATAAATACACAGAATATACAGTATACACAGTTTTAAAATTACACAGTTTTAAAATTAAAGTGACTGAAAGGTGAATAAATAACTGTAAGTGACTAAAAGTGAATAAAGTGTCAGTAGTATAAGAAGAGTGTAGTTTATGTTTCTGGTATGGGAAATGTTCTTATTGGCTGGAGTTGAAAAAGCAGAGTGGCTTTGGGGACAAAGGTAGCTCTCCTCCTCTCAGTCCTGCAGGACTGAGAGGAGGAGAGCTACCAGCGAAGGCGAAGGCGAAGGCGAAGGCGAAGGCGAAGGCGGAGGCGTCACCCAGAGGGAAGCCATTGAAATGCGGGGTGAAGTATGTGAGAGGGGTCGTTGATGATTTTGGCTGCCTGTCTAAGGGCCTGTTGGCTGAAAAGCCAGAGTTCTTACAGGCAGTCCAATGATTTTAGAGCACACTGATGCAGTCTTCTGCAGTCTGTTCCTGTTCTCAAGGCTGAGGGAGTGAAGCACATTTAATGCCTTTGTACAGCTTTTTCCTGTTATTCACCCTCACTTCTTAATGGCTTTGTATAGCACATATTAAGGTCGGGGTGTTTTTTCAGGGTTTTTTTGTTATATTTTGTTCTTTTTCCTTAGCATCCTTAACGTTTTCACAGACCTCGAACACCTATAAAAGATAAATGTGCAAACATGTTTGTTTTGCAGTTTAGATGCTGAGAATTGTAATCTCAAGCATTAAAATCAGGACTCCCTTCCTTGGACCCCTACTTGGCGTTTTGTGTTTATGGATTTTTACATCTTGTTTATACATTCTTTTTATATTCTCCGTGTGACTTATGTTTCTTAGTTTGATTTTCTTGTGCTCTTGAGTTTATCTATACTTCTAGTTTAGGTTGTTTGGTCCCCTTCACGGTTTTGTCCCATCTCTGTGTCCTTCCCCCAGTCTCTACCTGTTAAGTCAATCTTGTCTCCATGTTTATTTGCCAGTTTGGCTCCTGAATTATGTCGCTCGCTGTTTCCGTCTTTTGCTCTGTCACCCTGGGTCCTCGCTGTGTTCCCTGTATTTAGTCTGCGTCTTAGTGTGTGTTCCTGGCGTTTTCTGTTTTATTCTGACAGTTCTTTTCATCCTGTGTGCATCATGTTCAGTTTAGCTCCCACTGTCTCATCCGTTACATCACGTTTGTGTACACAGGTGTTTCCTCTCTCCCCTGACTTCCTCTTGTATATATTCTGTCTCCCTCCGTCCAGTGTCGGAATCTCCCATTGGCCATGTGTCCTGCTGGTATTTTAATTCCTTCTGTTATTCTCACATCTGCCTGCCACACACTGGTTATCCTGACACTCCCTCATAGCTGAAGACTGTAAACTGGAAAGTGAAGGAGGGAAAATGTTACTGACTGAGACATTGTTGTCGATGTGTCAGTCCACACTGAGTGAACACTGAAAATACAGAGAGGTCAAGAAACTAACAATTAAAAAATTAAATTGTTATACCCTGAGGTTCTCGACCAATGTGCTTTGAAGTTAATGTTGATTATTGAACAGCTCACCACACCTCACCACAGAAACTGACACATTTTAAAATCCATATCCATGCACAGTAAGAAACTGTGGTGATTTTTTTTTAAATCATTTGTTGTCAAATTGTCAAATGAGTTGGAGTTCAACTTTAAAACTTAAACTAAATCCATTATGTTCACAAACCGACAATGGAATAAAAAAAAAC